TATGTTGATTTTGATTTCAAAGTGATAACTTACTGAGTGAAAGAAAAATAAACGATATAAAAAATTGAGACAAATATAGAGAAATAAAATATTTTCTCGTTCAAATCTGTACAAATTAGTTTTGCATATGTGTAGGTGTATATATGTGCTACAGAGAAAGACAGATTGTAACTATAGTTATAAAAGTGTAAAATGCAATTGCTCTGACGGCAATAATCAAATTGAAACAAGCCAATTTATATAACATTGTACAGTGTGAAACTATATTCAAATTTTACTTGTTAGACAAATGTTAAAATGAATTAGTTCAATAATTTTTGGCACTGGTTATAAAATTTAATAGTAAATGGAATGCATTCCACATTTCTATCTCATACTATCTTTAGAAATTATTGTTTGCCTACAGATAATTTTTATTTCTCTGTTATGAAAATATATGCAGATCATGGATGAATAGTTACGTATTACTCCTTTAAATGACAACTAGTCTAACGGTACAACCGGTAAACCGTCATCAAGGTATCAGAGAGTCTGCTAATTATGGATCCTGTTCCGATTCAGACTTGCAGTTCAACTTCTATAATAAACTTGGTACCAAACGCCTACACTCTTTAGTATACCATGAATTAGGTTACCTAGAAGTCATAACGATGATATTTATTGAAAGATCTGCGCTGATAGCTTTTCATATTACTGTCCAGCCATTTCTGAGTAATATTTGTATTTCGTTTAGATTACCTCCAAGTTAAAGTATAATGTATAAACTTAATTGGTTTTAATCATTTTTACTCGAGCTAAATGTGGTCAAAATGTGTGCTGACTATGACAATAAGCACAAAATTTGGTGTTCTGCTGTTCGGAATTGCAAAGGAGATGTGTGACTCTTCGTAGGGTTAAGTATGCAAGAGGTAGCAAGTTCAGCTTTAGAATTGTATCGTAAAACGGATTATGGCTAGGCATAAAGAATACTGGTATACATTCTCGTCATATAACCATAAATCGCTATTGAAAAAAGCTCTATCTTCTAGTGAAGTATTCTAATCTCCTCAGCTTTATTTAGCGGCTTCGTTTAAAAAAATGTTATCATCTTCAACTATTTTCTTTCAATTAAGAGATACTTTTGAATTTTATTGCTTGGATCTATGTATACATGCAGTTCTCCTTTAAAACTAGGTTGTTTCTGTAAGATTTTCGTTTAATTGTTTGGTTAACGCCATTTCTTGATCTTTACAAAGCAAAATATTTGGATCCAGAGGTTTGTAGGGATTTGTTTATTGATTTCAAGTCAGTATTAGGAAGATGTTAACCGTTAGAATCCGAGTCAGTTGTTCAGTGACAACGTGATGGATGGCCTCAGAACCTGAAAGTCCTAAGTTCCATTCCTAACAAAGTCATTAGTGCACACTGCCGAGGAAACCCGTGCTTGGACGAAGTAGCTATCATGTACTACCAGGTTTTCAGTCGTTTTCTGACTGATGTTAGTCTGTGATGAATACCGACTCCATCGTTTCTACATGCACTATGGACTTCTGAATCAGTTTTGTTAATCTTCAGTTCCATTACCGAACTCATTTCACCAGCTTCTTTCATAAGTAATTGCCAAATATCTTGGACATTCATGTCTTCAGAGTCTTCTCCTAATATGGAATAAGTAAGTCTAGCTGTTGAAATCGGAGTATTTTAGCAAGTTTGTCTAGGTTAGTTTTTTTGAATCTGGCCATAAATCCTCCTAATAGGAATTTTTTATGTTATCTGAAACATGTGATGTATTAGCGATATACATTTCGAACAATCTGGTCATACACAGACATGAACTTGTCGAACTATTTATATGAACCTACGTTGGTAGTATTGATTTTAATTTTCATACCAAGACTGGCGTGATTTAGATTTTGTTTTCTTCTCTGCCCTTCCTATATTTCCTTTTGACTTCATTGACCCTAACGTAAGTTTTCAGCAACTTTCCAGCTAATGAGTTCCAAATGGGACGAAACGGGCGTCCTGGGTTCCTCTGGTAGCCACCACCCATCTATAACATATAATGCAGACACAGGCAATATCGAGGCATCCGCGCAGTAGCCTATATGCTAAAAGAGACCGATCATTCAACGACGGGATAATACAAGTAACAACATTAAAACTATACCTGTCGCACAAGAAGTGGCTGTCGTTACTAGGTGGTCTAGTGGATAACGCTGTAGTGTTTGAAGTGACCAGTCTCACGTTCGAGTCATGGTAGGGACAACATCGCTCTCTGGCAGGCAAGTACATCCAGCTGACGAGTCCCAAATAGGACGAAACGCGCATTCTGGGTCCCACTGCTAGCCATTGTCCATCATTAGTTTCACACAACTAGTTCAAAAAGCTCACATGTGGTCAGACTGTTCAAAATGCATAGTGCTGATAAATCAAGTTTTAGATAATCTTCATCTTCTTACATTTTAAATAAAAAAGTATCCTTTTATCCGAAAAGACGCTTTTCTAAATGTGCTCGTTGTGCCGGTAAACGTTGCAACTACTGGGCTTTCGTCTAGCAAGAAACTTAACTATTTGCAGGCTGGCGTATTCATTTCTTCACCTGTATGTCTTTAGAATAGCTGAATAAACCAAAGTGAGTTGAATTATAACCCTTTTAGACCTGATTGAGGAACTATCTAGTAAATTTGTGTTAATTACGAAATTTGACTCAATCTACCCAAAAGTCATCAATTAAATGAATCAGTAATATTGACTAGTCATAAAACTATCGGAAAATCCACTTCATCAGTTTAAATTAGTTTATTATATACCGAAAACTAAATCTGAGAAATTATAAAAGCTTTTGTCAAGCGCCTTCATCTACATGGATTAAGAACAACTCCAGTCGTACAACTCTATGCTTCTTTTCTTTTCATTAGAGCTGGAAAGCACATTACATTTGGGTACTTATTCTGCTTAGTGGTATATTGGTCCCCAACAATTCTTCTGCTGACATTGAAACTAGACAGTTGAAAAAACTACTTATCTGTAAAAGATGTCAGCTTGGACCATACAATTTTTAAGTTATTTGAAACTGATATTCAATTTCATGCAAGTCTTATTTTTGATCTCTTTTTTTCCGATCTGTATTCTTACAGTTGGCTAATAAATGATGTAACTTGAAATGACGTGCTAGGTACACTGGTTTCCATCTTGTCTGGCTGTGAATCTGTTTGAATCATGTTGAACGCCTTCCTCGCAGGACAGAAGACTGTATTTTGATAGCACTTCATCATTAGTGCAACATAAACACCCAGTAATCCACCAAGTATGTGACTATGACTTACGACATATTTGTTACGAACATAGTCTACATAACTGAATTTATACAGACTTGACTCTGCAGTGTATGAAGATTAAAATAATCAAAAAATTCCCTTTCCTTCTGTGAAAGTTCAAAGTTACAAGAGATTATTCAGATTTCATCAGCTAGGTATTTTGAATACGATATCTGAGATTTCTGAAGTAAGATAGAGTTGAATGCTGGCTGGTCAGAATTGCTTGGCAGGAAGCCTTGCTTGATCTAACTTTCCTGGTGGTTAACACTCGCTTGTCAGGCATATCTACAACCTCTATGAGACTAATTTCACCTGTGAGACTCGAACCCGCATTGAACGATGCTGCAATCAGGGACATTACCCCTAAGATATTCGGGGCGTGATTGACATCCTGTAGGATTGGATTAAATACATTTGTTGGTCATTGGGAGTAACCAACTTCATATTGTCTAGTCCTGAGTACTGACTGAATTCCATTGGTCATTCCGTAATGTGGTCACGAAGCTAGCAGACTCGTGTCCGACAAAATTACGTCAACGCTTAGGACTAGACAACATGAAATTAGTTGGTCTGCAGTCAATAGTCAATGCCGAGTGGAATGTTTCGTACCACTATCAAACAGATATCTGGCAACTTTAAACTTACTCCTACTACACAGGATTGTTGTATTTGATCTTAGCTAGTTCTGATAAACCTGTAGAACACTGTGAATAATATAAAGCAATAATACATAAGTTAGTCCGACTATCAAACTGTAATCTTTATCAATAAAACTCAGTGACAACTGCGAAATGAACTACACGTTGCTGATTTACAACCACTTTTTGATTTAACTATATTCCCTGTATGGATATTTATTTTGATATCTAACATAAACACTTGTCATATACATGTATTCTTATAAATCTTCATTATGTAGGCTAGATTGCTTTGAGTAGAGATGAGTGCCTAAAACTACGATATACTGATCTGCGTAGATCATTCTGAACATTGAAAATCAAATTCAGGTTAGTTGGCTTTTACATATTTCTTGTAATGAATGTAACCTTAGATATAATTTAAAGCGTTGTCTTTAACAAGGCTTCATCAAGCAAATTTTGGGTATTTCACTTCAGCATCTAAATTCACGGACAAATTTATGACTGTGTCCTCGTATACAGCATAACAGAAACTAACTACTGAAAATGTCTTCTCAAGTTAATGAAAATCTAGAAACCAGAAAAAGGAGATGGGTTGTACTGCTAAAAGTGGACCAAAAATACTTGGAATATACGATCTGAATATTATATGAGAGTAGAAATTTTACCGAGAAAGGGGAAAAGGAATAAAAATTACTTTCCAGTAATGGTGATGCTAGTGATGATGATCCCGGTAATGGGAAAGGCTTATAAGGTGAATATGAATGAGATCAACTATAGGAGGACATAATTATTAACATTTGGTGGTGATTGAAGGTGAAGTGGAAATCTTAGTCGTGGCAGGATTCGAACCAGCGATCTGCAGCAGCCCAGATTTTCATTTCACTCTCAATCATCACCTAGTATCAATCGATACAAATCTGCCCAACCACAGCTATCTCATATAGTCAAACTAGTCAACTTATTAAACATTATTACCAGATAATTTGACTCCACAAGTTCAGCTTATTCCTCTAACAAAAAGCATCTAGTAGTGTTAACAATCAGCTAACCAATTTAGACTTACCACAACGGTTCACTTAAGTGTGTTCTTTCAGCATCAAAGTAACAATGACTTAAAGTAGTTTTCAGTTGGGCTTGTTCAACATTTCTGGGTAAATGATTATCTAAATACATATCATTTGATGAATCCCTTCTTGAAGTTGAACATAATGTTACTGTAGGTGAATGCATACATGCCTCTTTCTTGTTTCTTGTTAATCCTGGATAAAGTAAAGTTGGATAGTCATTAACTTTTGGAGTTGATTTACTCGATAAACTTTGTGAAGAACAGTAATAATATTTAGGTTTAAGTGTTTCACTTACAAACATTGGTGACTGAAATTGTGTTTGTTCACAAGGTCTATTGTAAGGAATTGTTTTATTCATGGAATAGTTAGTCCAGTTTTGTTGATTAATTCGTAGATCATAGTTTGATTGGTTGATTATTGATTGTTTGTTGCCTTGAGATTGAGTTTTATGACCACTGCTATGATTAGAATCATCTAAATCAACATTGACTACTGTTCTGTGTGGTGAAATCCAAACATTGTGTGTACTAACAGAGTTATGTAAGCCCTGTAGTTTTTTATCCATAGCATAGGTTGATTTATGATTGTAAGGTGAATTTAAAACAAAAAGGATAGTACCATTTTAAGCACATGTATGATGAATAAACATAAAAATATTTACAGTCAGATTAAATGTAAATAATAACGAAATTTAAGATTCACTTTCTGTTTACGCGTAAAAATACGATCTCATATTTATTCTTTATTTTTACAAATTGAATGTTGATATTGATCATCAAAATTCAATGTGTCCAACATTGATAAATCAGATTTTTAATTCAGTTTTAGTTTGAATACCTACCTATATGATAGGTAAACTTAGAGATACAGCCCTAAAATTACTAATTTATTCTTAAAGAGAAAACGGTTACCCACCAGATTTATAGAGAAAAATATAAAAGAAAGGAAGATTATGGAACGGATTCAGATAGCTTCGAAGAAAATACTTTTACTGAATTTCAGATTCAAAAGTGAAATTACCGGAGATATCCTTCGTCAACATTTATCAACGTCCTTAAATAGGACGTTCTATACTGCGAACTTGCGTACTGAGTTTTTATATCAACAGCTGATTCGTCAGTGTGTGGAAGACAAGTTGTCGCATTCTGTCTCATCTTTGTGTGTTTACAAGTTCAATTATTAATGCGCAGTTGAGTTTATCTGCCGTACTATGCTCTCGATTGGAAAGTGAGCTTGGAAACATTACCCAGCCTGGTTGCTGAAGAGTGAGCACAAAACCATCTCCAGTCCCATCGCTGGAGATTTCGTAGACTCTAGACACCTGGCTTCTCTGGAAACCTCTTTCAAAGTTCGTTACGAAGTTCGACTAAACCATTGGAAATAAGTGAGCATTAGACACTTATGGGCAGGTGAAGCTCTAACATTTCACATAATTATTTATTTTCCGCAGATACGAAATCTTATTGTACACTGAGTTTTGTAAAAGCTGTTGAGATCATGCCTTCTATTGCGTAATATCATTTCATGCCCTATATTTACACCTATTGATTAAGTTTAACCTCTGACAAGAAACTGGTCTGGAACATTCTATCATTCTACTTACATATTTACGAATGTGCAGCTGTGAAAATAATTCCACAAAAAGATAATTATCATCGCTGTGGCCTCTTTTTTATTTCTATTTGTGTAGGAGATTTTATTTTCTAACTTATTTATTCCCCTTCTCTAAATCTATTCACCTCAGAAGTCATATAAAGGTTCATGAACAACAATCGAATCTTCCATATCTCGAAATACTTTGCTTGTGAATCACTGGAACTCAGTACCAGAACATATAGTGTCAGCATTCTGCATTGATACTTCCGAAGTAAGACTGGATATCGAAACTACTACCACTAGCAAGGACCTATACAGGTCAATGAAAGCCTTTCCTCACTCCCGAAGACCAAAAATTGACTTAATTTATGCATAAATTCTCGAACGACAAGCAGAACTTACTTTGTACAGAACATAAAGATAATATTACTCCGATTTATTTATTAGATAGTAGACATAGCAATTTATGGAATAATTCTTAGGGTAGACATGCATCATGTTCGAATTCCCATCTAACAGTGTTAAAATAAAGTGGTAGAAATAATATTCGTAAATAATCCAACAAACTAAAGATGACTTTTACCAGATATAAACCTAGTCGAATAATAATGACATTGGTTGTTTCGAGGGGTTGTAGCGTGTGAGGTTTCGTTGATTTGAAGTGGGTTGTGTTAATGCGTATAGCGAATGTGTAAGTTGCTAGTGCACGTTTAGGTGATGGCAAAGTGAAGGGGACGTCGGCGTACGAACCAGGGACCTCCTGACCCACGGTCGAGTCCTCGAGCTCTGAGCTACACCCCGAGAAAGTGTATTCAAACACAACGAAACCATCATGTATCAATCCGGTTCTTAGAACAATTGGATTGTTATTTAGTGTTCATTAGGAAAATGTTTCGATACAGATTTCCGTAAGTTTAATTAATAAGCAGTGACTTGAGTGGTCAACCAAGTCGAGACTACGTATAGAAACCCGCCGATGAGATTAGATGATAGGAGTACTTTATAGCGACAGAAACAGGAGTTAGTGGTTCATTGCATTCAAACTTGGCGAATGAATAGTAATACATTCACCGTCAAATATTACGGCGGTGGGCCTAGTCCTTTACGTAGCCAACAGAGCACACTTCTAAGGAGTTGCAAACTAGGATGAAAGAGCTTTCAGGTGCTTCAAGTTTTTCAGTGGTTTTCCAATTGATGCCAATTCCTGGGGAAAACTAATTTGAGATCAGTTTGCAAATGATTTACAAACTGATCATTTTATCGTAGGTATACGGGCTCATGGAAATCGGGTTACACTGCTAGTGAGCTGGTTTAGCTTCAAAAGAGAGAAACGGTTCTCCAGTATTTAGATCACTATGATCTCACTTGTGAAATTTACAGATCAGTCTAAGTGATTTCCAACCATTCGAGTTGTTCAGTAGTCGAACACTTTCAGATTAATGAACCACTGAGTATGTAAGAATATATTTAACGTTCAGATAACTGAATTATATTCACCTGGCAAAATTCCATATGTAGGACTGTGTCTACATGAATACAACAGTTACTACAATAAAATTGCATTGATTTATTCTGATAATTTATACAAATCAGTTGATCTTTACCTATATTTTGTCGGAAGCCAGTTCACACCAATAAGTTATACGACCAGTGATACAGCAAGCTCTAAATGATAGTCTCTACAAATATTTGATGGATATAAATTTCATTCAGGCCATAATTTGGACTGCCAAGAAAATGGTATGAGATTTTCGTTAAATAAAAATGGATGGAAGTAGACTAAGCGAATAAACTCATGAAAATCTGTCATAATGTAAATGTGGACAGCTGTTTACACAACTTTCGAAAAGAATATTTTATATAGGTCTCAGATATGCATATGATAGTGAATATTTTATTAATGAAGTTCTTTCAAGGTAGACAGTGAACTTTTTCTATTAATTGTTGAAGTAAATTTCAGTCTAGGAAGAATAGTTTTACAAAATGAAGTAAATTTTCAACTAAAAATAATGTCAACTATAGGAAAATAAAAGATCTAATTTAAAGTATTTGGTTTGAAAATTTGTGGGGATTGACTCATTACAAGTTGTTAGTCATCATGAGCTGACATCAAACAAAGAACTGTTGAAAATCTTGGAGGTCTGGGCAGATATTTCTTTTCACTAAGGGACATACTCATGATTCCATCAGAGATCTAACCTAGTTATCATGATGAACATTTAAATGTTTCATGAGATAATTCTGACTTCTATTTTCCCTTCGAATTATAGTGAATATGGACTACAAAGAGATGATATACACTAAAAATCAGTGGAATGAGGCTCACTTGTGTGAGTAAACCTTTGAGTGGTTGGTATCAGAAGAAATCCGTTTTCCTCTCAGTTGTCAGGCACAAAAACATATATCAAACTTGCCTGAAACTGATGTTTTATTGACTAGATGTTGTGGATACGCAGTTTAGTTGTCAAGATTAATCAATGAACCACTTATATTAAGCATTAATAATTATGAAAGTATCAGTTACCTTATTAACAGTTGATAAACAGCCATCAGTATTCTCTGTAGAATAACACTGACCGATGAGACCGATGGAACATAGAGAATTAGCTGATGACCATGATGATGAAGATGACAAACAGGGATGCTGTGGTGGTTTTGATCGATGTAGCAACAAATTACTTTTTTGCTCATTTAGCTCCTGATGATTATTTCCATTCATGTACAGATTGGTTAGAAATGGTTCCTGATGATTATTTCTTAACTTTATTGGTGTGTCAAGTAAACACTGTTGTTGTTGTTGCTGTTGCTGTCTCTGCTGATGCTGATGAGATTTCATTTCAGCCGATATAATACTCCACCGGTGTACATCATTTTCATAATTTCCATTTAATGCATTGTGATCAGTTAACCTTCTGGCTAAATTTAAATTATCCTTGAAGATACCATTTTGATGATTTTCATTACTGGTTGTCTGTATGCCAATATCACAAAAACACTTCCTTTCTTCAGATATAGTTTTATCAAGTGACTGGTCAGTCTCTGCATTGACTATCGATGATGGCGTTGATGAGGATGGCTTAGTTGCATGTGAAGACACGCTAGAAGCATGGTATTAAAGTGAAATCAAGAGAAGTTCTTTCAATAGCAAAAGATATGAGTAAAATTAATTTTTATCAAACACGCCATATCAAGTAATTATTGGTTTCCATAACTTCAGTGTTTAACGCAAACATGTAAGTGTTTAGGTGTAACCCTGGCTAATTTTAGTTGCCAACACAATATCATTGCCCGATGAATCACAGCATACTCAACAGGTCTTTCTTAAGTTAGATAGCACCGGCAGGATAAATTCCGATGTTGTTCAGTTAAGCAAATTCCTTCTCATTCCAGAATAGTAAACAGACTTTATAACGGACTAGGATTAGTTGCAGAACAACTGAAAACCATGAATGTCCATATGTTTATAGTGGTCCAGTGCTCTCAGGTTTTCAGTTGTTCTCTAAATTCCTATAGCCTCATATATTTGTTGAGGGCGAGTTCGAACTATGTTGGAAAGGCTTAGTGGGTTGCGTTCAGTGCTTTCGTTTTACCCACTCTATGACAACTATCAATTAAATGCGACAAAATACAGCTCCTTATTGACTTAACCAGTCATTTGCCCAGTCAAGAAGGCAGGTGTTCTGTTGTACATTGGTTATGGTGTCTAGTCGTACACCCAATATAACTATCTCCACGGGAGCAACTGAAATGATAAATGCACATGGAAGTGGTGGAACTTGGCAACTTGTCCTTCGTTTGACAAGAAACAATTCATCGAGTAGAAAACGATAGACGGAGACTATCTGCATGAAAAGTCCTTTAAGCGGTCTCCAACTGTTTGTGGAATAGGATCTCACTAAATTGTAACTTTATGGATAGTGATTTGCTTCGAACAGTTACTGCTTTACGTCTTCTATCCCCTTTATTCACATACCTGTTTATAAAAGCATGAAGATAACTTATTTCAGTTAATGAATTTGAAATATGCTCTGACTCACTCTGTAGAGTGTCATCTGAGTAGATTTTCCTTGCTATGGCTGTTAAACATTTCACTACATTTCATTTATACCGCATAGGTATAGAACTAAGGAAGTGTGTGTATTGACAAGCAGATTTGGTTCTTCTATAATAAATACGTACCTAATTAAATGGAGTCTAAAATATTTATATAGACATATAGAAACAAATTTACCATAAAGAAAGTTTCTAGTCAATGAAATGCCCCAGGAATTAAAAGAATTGTTTCTGAATTACATAAATCCCACAAAACAGTTCCGCGGAGAAAAGGATGAACCTTATGAAGTCTGTAGAAAATCTGAGATCAGAAGGAAAATACCTAGTTTGTCTAGAAAAAAGTCCGAAAGCATTCGGCCTAAAAGCAAATCCACTGCAATTCCATCCACCTGTCTATAAAATGCATTATCGAAAACTAAGTGTACTTTCATTGGACGCCTAAGAAGCAATTCCTTGAATTCAGCCTCAGAAATTCCAATTTTGTTTTGTCTCTCTATTACTTGCAGACATATAAAATCAGCTGTCTCAGTGAGCGTTACATTGATGAATAGTGACGATAAATATATCGATATCATACATTTTCCACTGACATTCTCTTCTGTAGCTCTGAAAATCAAATCCAAGACATCCTTCAGACTATGTTTTACAACTAGTTTGTGGAGGAGTCCTAACCACTTTGTGACTCTGTGATATGATGAGGCACATATTTCTACGACTGAACGGTAGGAGACCCAGGCTTGTGGATTTTAGGTAGACTATACAGCTATGGTATGCTGCAGCTGGTGGGCTTCAGTTGGTCATGCAATACTCCTGAGATTAAATCTGTTAATTTGAGTTCTTTATAAAAACTCTTTTTCACCCTGGCATTTAATTTTCTAGAATTACTTAGCTTCTAAAACTTAATTTGATCGCCTAGAAGATAACTAATTTTGTTGATGTAACCTCTTTTGTCCAACAACAGTATACCTTTTCTCTTGTTTGGTTTACTCATAATTAGCGTTCCATTCTACCTTGGCTTTTAGTAAGCTTCTCGATATTACTTCGTTAACAAACTGTTTGCAGAACTCCTAACACATTTGTATTACTAATAGTTGTCGGCCAACGTAGTTTTAAACCTGGTTTTTTCCATTATTTAATGACACAACCAAGTCAGATGTTTAAGATAAAAAGTCTTCAAAGTGTGTATCAGTATCAAGTTCACTAGATTTTGGTCTATAACCATCACTGTGTTTAGGGTCTAGGGATCCATTTTAGCCCATAGATATCTTAATCGCTTATCTTGGCCGTTTCATGACTGTGAGTCACCGAAACTGGAATTTAAGACAACATGAACTAGCAGTTCATAAAATTCTGGTTTGATGCTATGTATTAGCCTGGCCAATCTCAAGCTCCTTCTCACCTACTTTTATTAAGAATCGTGTTGTCGATTCATGTAGATAAGTGGATGAGATACAAAACACAATAAATCTACCTCATCAGCTGACTTAACCAACTGACATTGAACGCGCTAGTTTGTTTTGTTTTGAAAAGAATTTCAGAAATGCTGTTTGAGTCTGTTTAAGTCAAGTTTACAACAAAGATAATTGATTAAAAGAAATCTGTATTTGAGATTTTAAAAGTAGGGCTAGTTATTGTTTCACTTGAGCTAAGCTATTCACAGAAATGGTTTAGCGATAATCATATTCACTACAGACATTTTCCATCACATAGGGACATTGGGTAAAACCGTTAAAATTCAAGGAAGCACAAGGTTTCAGTCTCTTTCTGACTCAATCTCCGTTACTCACATGTGACTATTTAGTGCTCTTGTCTTTTCAGTGGAACTTTAACTAACATCAGTTTGTGATAAATAATAATCCTACACTTAACAATGATGTATTTTGAGCTGCATTTCTCGGAATCATTACGAAAATCTTATATCTTCGGAAATCTTGGTGTTGAGAATACAGTCAGATACCATCACATCTTATCGTGAAGTGGATATAGATAAATAGCGTTCAACACAATGACACAATTATAACATGTTTACTAAGAGACCTAAGTATTTTGACTTTGTCCATTTACACTGTCAGGTGTCTGGATCATTAAGAAGTTCAGAATAAAATGAAAGAGGAGTTAAGTGTTTTTAGATTTGCGTAGGTTTCCTATTCGATATTAGCTCATTTTTTACAAGCCCTGAAAGAAGGATTGAAGTCACAGCTTGTATATCCAACTGACGAATCCTGAAAGAGACAAAACGAACGTCCTAAACTCCACTGCTAGCCACTAACCATCATTAATATTATAAAGGAATTGCTTTAACTTCTTATAAAATTTAAACGAAGCGTTTGCATAATTTGTATCTATTGGTATGAATAAAGCAAACTTGGTTATTCTTTAAAAGAATTCGTGATTGAAAATTGAAGTTATTCAAAAGATTACAGTAGAAGTAAACCGATGAACTTATGAATAGTTTTATATGAAATTTTGTGAATAAACTATTTAACAATCCAAATCCCATCTGGCATATCATTTTCGACAGAACCCGAATATGTCTAGTAAATAATTAAGTAAACATGTTTTTGCTTCAGTGTTCATATCGTATATTCAAACTTCGTAGAAAATATATAAGGGTAACAAATTAAAGAAAGCTATGTGAAAAATAATCCGTCTTTAGGTTTTGGTGTTAAAAAGAGATAGATAAACTGGGATCACAAATGAATCGATATATACATATAGATAATGACTATGTGAAATAGTAAAATTCAGTTGAATGTTTGTGGTAAATCTTGAACTTAGAAGTTTTGCATCTTGATTGGTTATCATCATCAAGGTGTATTTCAGAATTTGAGAAAACTAATGCTCACTTCTGATATTCATATTTTTGCTTTAAAGTGGTACAATCGATCACGATTACTAACTCACTAAATCGGTTACAATACTTGGTGAGATAAAGTATTAGTCATCAGTAGTCTACACCGACGTATTTTTGTTCATCAGGTAATACAGTATGGCTGTTGACTAAGATATTCTTTGAAAGGTTTTGATTGCCATATAGTATACTCTGACTGAAAAAAATTAGTAAAGCATCAGATAAGTTTTTGTTTGGTAGAATTTTAAACGCCAGATTCAAATGAAACAAGTTTAGATTAACCGATCTTATACATCAAATATCAGCTCTTTCTTCAGCTATACATACAATAGGTTGTAAATGACAGTATGGACTATACTGATAACTATAGTTATTGCTACATTTCACTTGTGGAGTTTCGCATAATTATAGAAGTAATCAAGTTTTTAAAAAAAGTGGGTGAAACAATAAACATAGGAGTATAACTTGGTCACTATGGTCGATTGTTATTCCATTTTAGTCTGTTTATTAAAAATATCACACAGTGAAGGAACAGTATCATTTACTGGATAACGTTTCCGACAAAATTTATGGTCCATATTCATATCAGGTAACTCCACAACTTCAAGACAGTCTTTATATATTCTAAATTCTGTCTCCTTCTCTGTGATGACAAGAGGAGTAGAATTTTCCATATATTTGGGACAGGTTCAGAATCATTTTTATTTCTGCATGTATTTGGTATTGATTCGATAAACAAAGATTCGGTTATCAATCTCTCCCTCCACCCAACTAAGTTGGTTTTTAACGCTGTCGTCCTATCTCACCCTACTGTGTGATTGTGTGTAATTGCGTGCAGTGCTATAGCCGAGTTTTTCTCTAAATTTCTTGTCTTATTAGGATAATCTTGATTTAGCCAAGTTTTATGCTCTGTTATTCTAATTGTTATTCATCGTAGACTGACATCAGTTGGAGGAACAAAGGAAACCTGGGAGCACTGGACAGCTGTTTCGTCCTAGTATGGGACTCCTCAGCAGTGCGCACCCACGACCCCACCAGCAGGGATCGAACCCGCGACCTTCAGGTTCCGCGGCCAGCGCGTTACCATTGAGCCACTGGGTCAGAATCCAATGCTCCATATTTCCAACTTCTGTTAGCTCACGATATATAGCGCAACCGCCACCCAATGTCATCGCTGAGTATTTGTCCTCATGG